CTAATGTCCAGATTGGCTGTACCATTTTACATTGCCACTGTTTTTTTTTTTTTTTTTTTTTTTTTTTTTAAAGATGACCGGTAAGGGGCTCTTAACCCTTGACTTGGTGTTGTCAGCACCACGCCCAGCCAGTGAGCGAACCGGCCATCCCTATATGGGATCCGAACCAGGGGATCTTAACCCTTGACTTGGTGTTGTCAGCACCACGCCCAGCCAGTGAGCGAACCGGCCATCCCTATATGGGATCCGAACCAGGGGATCTTAACCCTTGACTTGGTGTTGTCAGCACCACGCCCAGCCAGTGAGCGAACCGGCCATCCCTATATGGGATCCGAACCTGGGGCCTTGGTGTTATCAGCACCGCACTCTCCCGAGTGAGCCACCGGGCCGGCCCTACATTGCCACTATTAATGTATGAAGATTTCAGTTGCTTCATATCCTTGCCAGTGGTGGGTATTATTTTTTAAAGAAATTGAGAATTAATAAAATAAAACCCATAATGTGTATGTATATGTAGACATACATACATTCAGTCTTGAATTATTCACATATTTACCTTATGTGGTATACTTCATTCCTTCCTGTGTATTTGAGTTTCTGTCTGTTATTTCTTTGTAGCCTGAAACACTTCCTTCGGTATTTTTTGTACAGCAAATCTGCTAGCTACTAATTTTCTTGGTGTTTGTTCACCTGGAAACATTTTTATTTTGCTTTTACTTTTGATAAAATTGTTTTTCTGAATATAGGCTAAGGCTAACCCAGCTGATAGTATTAGTTACTAAGACATGGAAACATAAAGGTGATGGAGAAGGTAAGTTTTGAGATGGCCAGGAGATAGCAATCTGTAATCAGCAGACCACTTACAGCTCAGCAGAGAGATCTGGACTGGAGAGAGAATTGGGATTGTTCAGCATGTAATTAAACTTTGAGAGTAGATGAATGCATCCAGGGAGAGTACCAATGATAACGTTAGAAGAAAAGGTCACATAAATTGAGAGATGCTTTCCACTCCTTTCTAGATATAGGGTAAGAATGAAGAGCATTTTTAAAAGGCAATCCTTGTCAATATGTAATGTTACAGAAAGGACAAATAGATGAAGGATTAAAAGAGGACCACAATTCAGCATAAAAGAAGTCAATTTGACTTCACAAAGGCAGTATAAATGAATTGATTATGGAGGCAAGTAGACGTCAAATTGCAGTTCTATGTTGAAGAATGTGAATGAGAAACTTTTATGGAAATGTAATGAGAAAAATAGGGTAATAGAAATGTAAGGTACGGAAATGCTAGTGTCTTCCTACCCCCAGCCTCCCAAGAAGATAAGTTTCTTAATAAATGCTAATGAAGAAGAGTTTGAAGACAGATGAAAGGAGTTAATTGAGTGAGATCTTTGAGGAGATGAAAGGGGAATGAAATCTGGGGTACACGTGTAATCATTAACCTTGGATAGGAGGATGGTATGTATACCTTTGCTTCTACTGTTGACAGTATTATTAGGTTAATATAATATCTGCTAAATTCACTGTTCAGAGAGTCACAAGTTGTGGTTTAAAATATTTAATGTACCAAACCAAATTAAATCAAACCTTTCTCTTAAACAACCCATTGTTTTACCTTAAGCAATGATTATTTTTACTGTGTATCTTAAAATTTATGCTTATTTTCTGTATTTGGTTCCTTAAACCACAAAACCTAGGAAATATGAATAAGTGAAATCTGAAAGCGGAAACAGGGATGACTTAAATTAGCAAAGTTGAATTATTGGACCAATTTTCTGGTGGCTTGAGTGCATTCTTTGTAGGAAATATTACGTTTAACTATCACCTCTTGTGTGTCACATCTTAAGTTTTCCTCTGTGTATAAGCGTTTGTTACTGGTACACAGTGTTAGTATTCCTTGGCTTCTCTGTAATGTTATTGAAAATATATTGTCCATAAATAGAAAGGATCTCCTATGATATAAAATAGCTTAAATAATAAGTAAGATCATAATTTGGCATGGGAAGAGAACAGAGAGTGTTTGGTTCTTTTTTCCAAATTTTTCACCTGAAAAAAGGGAGCTGAATGGGGAGTTAAAATTTTACGTTTTAGAGCAAATTTCAGTCAGTTAATGGTTATTAAAGTCTGTGTGTTGGAGTTGGAGGATTTGTGTGTGAGTTAAGCTGTTGATAACTAAAAGTCAAGGATGATGATGAAAACACCTAACCTTGAAGTGGTTGATTCTGAAGTAGAAGCAGAAGTTTGAGTTTACTACTCATGTTGGACATGAGGATTCCAGAGATTGGAGGGCTATTGACGATTATTCCCCAAGAAAAATGTAGGTTATCTAGTGTACGTTTGCACGAGCATTGCTTTATAATAGGTGGAATTCACTGGTTGCTTATCGGTCTATCTATAGCAAGTCTGGATTATGCCTCGGACCTGAAGTTTTTATTTTCCCTTTTGAAAGTGCTAGTAGTAGGGAGCTACCCTAGCCCCTTTTATTTTATTCAAAGATGCGTGGCATGGACAAATTAGCCTGCTATAGGAATTTGATTTTTTAACAGTCTCAGTGGATATCAAAGTCATACTAATATCAAATATCAAATCTAATATCATATCTAATAATACTAATATCAAATCATACTAATATCAATTGGGTATCATAGTCATACTAAAAAAAAGTGGGATATAATGATATTTCCTGGAATCTAGAACAATAGAAAAAATTGTTAATTTTTTCCTTTACTCCTGTTATTTTCTTCTATCAATGAGAAAGGCAGTAGAAGGACATTTTTACTTAATTCTTTTTCTTTCATCTTTTCAGCTCTGTAATATTTACATGGAAATCCACGTGTTCATTTATTTTGGAGGAATATTATTAATTATTAGTGACATGTTGAGTTGAAGTTGGATTATAGCTATATTGGAAGACTGCAGAATTGGGAGAATTGTGGTCATGTAAGCTTTCCAAACTAGTTTGCCAAGGGGTTAAATTACATAGATTGAGCATTATTTAATAGCGTGAAGATTATACACAAACCTCTTCACTTTTGCAAGTACTTTGTATTCAATAAGAAGTGTTATAATTATAGCTCAGCAAAAGAATGGCTTGGATTGTGTACCTAAATACTTTCAAATTTGGGCTTTCTTGTTAAGTGTAAGCATGATCAGATTTCAGGCATAGTCTGTAACAATTATACTAATAATACAGCAGACTCCTTATTGTCATTTAAAACCCTGAGTACTTAACGCAGGTTCTTTAATTGTAGTGATTTAGAAGAAGGTTATAGGAAAAGAAGAAAATAGAGAGAAGGGCAAGGTGAGAGCTCTTCTCATAATTGCCTAACGCCTTGTCATTACCTGATTGGCGTTCACATTAATTTGATCGGTCATAGAGTTAGCTCTTCTGCTCTCTAACCTAGTGGGAACTTCAAAATTAGATTTATGCATAGCCTGTTGTTTGCATGAGTTGAAGAAACACTTATTTTGACTACTTCACTGAAGGAGTTAGGCAGCTGGGTAGTTCTTTGCAGCTTTGCGGAAAAGCTGTACCCTTTAAAAAAAAAAAATATTCCTGCTAGCAATATACAAGTGTGTCTGTCTTCTCAACCCTTGCTATCATTCGATTTTGTCTTTTTCATTTTTGCCTGATAGGCAAGAAATACTAACCTTGTTCTAATTTGCATTTTATTGATTACTTGAGAAACTGAGTATATTTTTATATGAGTTTTGGCTCCTCTTATTTCTGAGAATTGCCTTTTTTAATCCTTTGCTCATTTTTTCCATCGCTTTGCCCTTATTTGTATTGACTTATAGTGTTCTTTCTTTATATTTTGTCTTAATTCACTAAATTTTGTGTTGAAAATATTCCTCAAAATCTGTTGTTTTTCCTTCAGCTTTATTAGTGTCTTGTATCAGAGTTTTTCAAGTCATGTCATAATTTTCATGGTTTCTGAATTTTATATCTTGCTAAAGAAGACCTTCCTTTAATTATAAAAATAATATACCTTCCTATAACAAAGTTATAAAATTATAAACCTTCCTATAGCTATAAAAATAATCTTCTATATGTTTTTCTTCTCTTAATAGGTTGTCCTAAAGTTTAGTTCTTTAATCCATGTAGCATTTACTTTTATGGATGGTATGAAAGAGGATTCATACCATCTATAGGTTATATCTCACAGTAGATGGACTCATTACCACCCACCCCCCAGTTGATTTAAAATGCCATCATTATCATAAAGTATGTTTCTATTTATATATCTATACCAATAGTATGTTTTAGTATCTGGCATAGCAAGTGTCCTACCCCACCCCCATCATCACTTTCTTCTCAAACTTTTTGTTGGCAATTTTTATACATAACTTTCCTTTCAGATGACCTTCTGAGTCTATCTGTTAAAATGAAAATTTTAAAAAATGTTAGGAATTTTTATTGTGATTTTGTCAGATTAGTAGATTAATTTTGTGGCTAAATAACAAACTTTATAAATAGTTGGGACTTTTATATGTTTCTAATTTTTGTACATTCTTTTCTTTTTTTTGAGTTTTCAAAAAAAATTTGGTTTGGGGAAGAGGAGTTTGGAAATAAATCTGGAGAACTTAAAACCGAAGTCTCATTTGATAATTCTTATCTGATATAGAAGAAAACCTTGAGCTATAGTGAAAAAATTTATATCAAATAATGTGTGATACAGAATGTTACATTTTGTCATAAGAGAAATGTATCGTATTTTAGCTTTTTCACCTTACAATGGCATTTTACCTTTAAGTTTTTTGGAAAAGTAGATGTAGTTGATGAACTCTTTCAAAAAGGAGTGCTGTTCTCATTAGGTAGAAGAAAATGGACCAGCAAAAAAATTCGTCTTATGTACTTAAAGTTACTAGTTATCAAATGCCTTGAAAATAACTACAAAATGTTCCTCCTAACTGTTTAAAGTTCTTGGAAATAACTTGGAGTGTTACTAGTTTTTAAAGTTGTATTTAGGTATTCTAAGTATGTTTATGATTTGTTTCAGTCATCATTGAATTTCGAGAAGCATTCTGAAAACTTTTCATGGACAGAAAGTCGTTATGATGTGAATCGTCGACGGCACAACTCGTCAGATGGCTTTGATTCTGGTATTGGACGTCCTAACGGAGGTAAAATTTGCTAAGGAGTGGTAGAATTTAAGGACTTTTTTCCCCATGTTTTTAAAAGAATGTTTTGAATGCTATTCAATCTTTAAGCATAACTATCATCTTTGAATTTATATTACTTAACCGTTAAATAAAGGTAACTTTGGAAGGAAAGAAAAAAATGGATGGCGTACACATGGAAGAAATGGTACTGAAAACATAAATCATCGAGGGGGATACCATGGTGGAAGTTCCCGTTCTCGTAACAGTATTTTCCATTCTGGAAAAAGCCAAGGACTACATGAAAACAACATACCTGACAATGACACCGGGAGGAAAGAAGACAAGAGAGAACGCAAACAATTTGAGGCTGAGGATTTTGTAAGTTTCTTGTAATTTTAATTCAGATGAGGTTTCTGCAAGTGCCATTTTAACATCAAGGCATTATTGTGAAGCTTTATCAGTACAGCTTATTTTCTACAGGGATCACACTTGACAGGTATTTGTCCAATTATTATTAGTATTTTTTTTTTTTTAAGATGACGGGTAAGGGGATCTTAACCCTTGACTTGGTGTTGTCAGCACCATGTTCTCCCAAGTGAGCAACTGGCCATCCCTATATAGGGATTCGAACTGTGGCCTTGGTGTTATCAGCACCATACTCTCCCATGTGAGCCATGGGCTGGCCATTGTCCAATTGTTTTTTAATCCTTACATTTAGTGAGGGCTTTTTGTTTGCTGTCCCCCCCCCCCCCCCCCCCCCCCCCCCCCCCCCCCCCCCCCCCCCCCCCCCCCCCCCCCCCCCCCCCCCCCCCCCCCCCCCCCTTTTTAAAAAGTTTTGGTGTATTTATGTTGTTTTATTCCTTATAGAGATATGAATAATTTACCTTAAGAACTAGTAGCTGAACTTAGTGGCTTATTTGTAAGTGCATCATAGTATCTCTAAAAAGCTATTAAGCTTTTGCAAAGACTATTTTACCAATATGTTTTATTTAGAGTTTTGCCTTTAAATAACACTTGATTATTCATATATTACTCTTAAGCTAATCCCAGGATATCTCTTCTTGTCTTTTAGCTATTTCTCTATTCAAAATTTTCTTTGTGGTCGGGGAAGGCAAACTAATTGTTACCCTAGGTCAGATGTAATTGGGAATGTTAACGCAACTACTAAAAATAAGTATGAGTTAATTAAAAACAAAGTTTTCTTAATTGTTCCTTATTCCTAAATCTCACCATGTGGTTTATGTAAATACTATACTTGCCAAATTACAGAAAAATTGATCTAGCATACATTCCTATTTATCTAGTTCTTGTGATTCATTCCTGGTAATGAATTTGCACTTTACTTATCTTTTTATATGTTCATTGTTAATTCTTACTCAGTATACATATGAGTGGCTCTGTGAGTCAGTTGCTGTTCTTGGCACTCATAATACATAGGTGAATAAGATAGGCAAAACCCCTCCTCATTGAGTTTCTGTTTTAGTGGGAGCATACAGAACAGAAAAAGAAAATTATTCATATTTTGCAGAGAATTTAGACAGGAGGTGACTGAGTGCTACTTTGGTTTGGGACAACAGGGGAGGCATCTCTAGGGAAGAGATATTCAATCTGGGACCTGCTTGAGTGAGCTTTGAGAGGAAGAGCTAGTGCAAAGATGGGAGCAAGCTTGCTATGTTTAAAGGATGAAAGTTAGGCTAGTATGGGTAAAGAGTAGTTAGTATTAGACCAGATTAGCAAAGTAGGAAAGGATTAAAATTGAGTGGACTTTTGCAGGTCAAGGTAAAGAATTTTTGTTTAATTCCAAGTGCAGTAAGAATCCTCTCTGGAGAGGAGTCATGTGATGTGATGTTAGTTTTTAAAAGACTACTCTGATTGTTAGATCTTGAGTGAATTATAGTGTATGAAGGGAGACTAGTTAGGAAGCAGAAGGAGAAAATGATGGCTTGAACTAGGTAGCTGAGATAAATGAAGATGAATGGTTTTTGGATATGATTTGGAAGTAGTTTGGATGGAGAGTTTGAATAAGGGAAAGAAATTGATTGATTGGATTTTGGGTAGGGGAGTGGTGAGGGAAAGAGAATAAAAGATTGCTCTTAAGTGCTATTATCAAGTAACATTGGAATTTCTGTGCCTTCCCATTTCAGTAGTCTGTTTTTTTCACTTTAATCACCATAAATTTGAATTTTTATAATAAAAACAAGCTGGGAATAATAGTGCTCTTTCATAGTTTTGTGAGGGTTAAATGAATAATACATGTATATAAACCAGTTAAATAGTGGATAACACATAGTGAGCACTCAATAAAAGCTAGTTGCTGCTATCATTATTATTATTATACCCCACTCTCACTCCCAAGGTGGTAGTCATCAGCTGTTATAGTCCTACTCTGGAATATAGAGGCAGAGTGTAATTTCTCATAGTATATTTAAAAATCCACATATAACCACCACCAAAATCTTTACCCTATTTAGTTTGTGTCTCTGAAAGAACCATAGTAGTATGCGTGCATTCACTTTTGGGCCTTTACAATAATGTTAGTATGATGTTAATAGTAATTTACATTTGTGGGCAATTAGAATATTTATATTTGGGTTTATTTTATTCAACATGTATTTACCTTCTTTAAATGAGGCAAGCTGTGTTGCTAGGTAACATAAAAAATACTAGATATAATACTGAAAATTTAGGATTCTAGAGAGAACATATCAACTAAGATTAGCTTTAGAGTACCCATCCAGTGCTCATCTCACTTTTCTTATTAATAATTCTGAGCATCACTTGTTGAAATAAAAGTTTGCATTTTGCTTTGAGAATGACTACGTGAACTAAAGCATTTCAGTGATGAAAACCTGATGGAGTAATTGGGAAATGGTTTGATTTTCCTCTCCTTTGATCTTGACCTCTTACGCACTAAGGAGGGATTATTTCTCCGATAATATGCAAAGATCACAATCTCTTAAATTTGCTCTTTTCTTTAAAAATTGAAACTTTTTTCTCAGATAGTCATGGATGAGGAGAATTTATTAAGGACTTTTTTGTTTTCTTAAACTAGCAGTGAGTACAGATAGTAAACATTTTAGTGGTTGGCAGAGTAAGCTGTGAAAGTAAGGTTTATGAGTAATTAGTCTTTAGTAGTTGAGTTAATTTGCTTTTGCTGTGTAAAAATAAACAAAAACAACAAAAAAGTTGATAATATCAGGTTCCTCAGTTTCAGTGTGTATAATTTTGAGATTGCTTTAAAAGGAAAGGATTTACTTTTTAAATGTGAGATGTTTAAACATCTTTTTTTTTTTTTTTATTTTAATGTTTTTACAGCCATCTTTAAATCCTGAATATGAGAGAGAACCAAATCAAAATAAATCTTTAGCTGCAGGTGTATGGGGTAAGTAATCTTTGATCCATATTTGAGGGGTATAAAATTTTGATGTTTTATTTTTTGTGTTTTTTAAAATGCAGGCTAGAATAAAAACTTCCTCTTCTAAATATGTTTTTGATGTGCTAAGCTACCAAAAAAGGTAACAGTTGTCTTTTCAAAAGAAGAGATTTGAGGTAGAAGAAGAGTTTAACTTGAAATACTTGATTTGTACTGTTAGTACCATTAAGTATACTCAACTTGAATATGAGTTTTTTAAAAAATGATTTTGAGTTAACGTAATAGATTGGTATCATTTTGAGAGCAGCCTGATAATGTAAAGAAACAAACTTAATTTAATATTTAGTTTTTCGAAGTTGAAAATTCAGTCAACTGAAAAGACAAGTATTTCTGATCATTGTATGACCTGAAATTAATCTTCTTACCTATGAAAATAGTTATACATAGACTGTTAAAAATAATTGTATAAATTTGCCTATGGATTTAATCTATATTTGAAATTATTTGCCTCAGATTTTCAGAGTTTAATGAGTTTTTTTGGTAATAGCTCCCTTTTCTTTAAAACTACTGAGTTTAATTTGATAGCATCCTACAGAAGGTAAAGCTGTGCTGATATTACAAATTAATTAGACAGCTTTTTTTAAAGATTCAAGTGAAGTTTAAAATAATGGAAAAAATCATAATACGAAGATTTGACATCTGAAAAGTAAATTTAATTATTTGATGCCAAATTCAAAGGTGCTGTATCTACTTTGGAACTTGTACACACGTTTTGTATTTGTATTTTTCTCTTGAAAATCAACAACTTACTAAAACGAGGATTGTGGCTTACGACAGCATACTAGTCCTAACAATAACAGCATTATTTTAAACTTTGCCACTTCCTGTGCTGTTCTTTATTGTATTTATTTATGGGTGAAACTCTGAGGAATTATTTTGTTTTCTTTTGATCTCCCTCTTTATTTAAGGGTTTTTGAGGGGGCGGGGGTGGGTGGGGGTGGTCAGACACTTTTGTTAGAACCATGTGAATGGCTTTGTTTTTTCTGTATTGCAAATTAGTATTTCTGCCACTCTCCCCAGGCCTACACGCCCAGACACACACATACCCAACCAAAAAAATCTCCCAAGCTCCTCTCTTAGGTATGTTTCCTTATTATTCAGTTTTTCTGGGAACAACTGATTGCATAAGAATATAGAACCACCTAGAAGGTGTTAAATAGAATCTCTAAGAAATTAGGAATAATTTGGATTTGATTAGAATGAAAGTAAATAAATAAGAATGTTAGTGTTTGTCATATAAAACTACCTATAGATGCTATTGGTACTGATCCTTGGTTGATTTAATAATTTTAGAAATGATTTAAAGACAAAGACATCTTTGAAAATAATGAAACTAAAATGTATTAATATAAAAATTTTGGTTCTCCTGTTTCAGGGTTGGTCTAAGGATTTTGAGTACTAGTTGAAAAGATGTTTAAAAGGAAGATGTACTTTTTACTGTGTTTAGGTAAACTAAGAAATGTGTCTGCATTAAGAGAGAAAATGGTTGTGTCATGGTTAATTGGTAAAATTCCCAGTACTTCCCATAGGAATACAATGAAACTTCCATTGTATCACGTTTTGCTGTTCCTCTCTCACTTTCCCCCCTGGGTTCCCAAGTATTGTTTTCCCCATTGCAACACTTAAAATAGCTATGTTCCTGAGGAAGACCAGAGAGTTTTAGGAAAGACTTCAGTAGAACTTTTTAGTGCTACTTGCTTCCAGGTAAGTAAAAATGTACCAAATGAAAGAGTAATATGTATAAAAGAAAAAACAATTTGTCCCTGAAGCTATAATTTTATAGATCAAAAATTGGCAGAATCTAAACATAATATCCCAATTTAAAAGAAAAAATACCTTGAGGGAAAGTAATTAAGCCATTTAAAATATAGTTACATAAGTTTAATTCTACTTAGAACTTAGTTGGCTTTATTGGAAACACCTTCATTCAGTGTATATCCATGACTTCTACAGTGTTTTTTATCTTAAGCTGTTTAATGCATAAGATTAATAGTTATTAAATAATCCATTGCCATGTTAATAATTTAAAACTAAAACAGAATTTAAGGTAGTCCAGTGTGTCTGTGAGAATTTTAAAGTAACTTAATTGTGTCATCAAATTATTTTGGTGGGGACAGGCAGTGTGATATGTGATGAAGTGTTTGTAGACAATTTGAGATGTAATTAGCGGCTATTAACTTGTGTGTTTTCAGAAGTCCTGTTGGCTGTTTTTGTGTCAGCAACCCAGCATGTCAGCAGTGTATAATTAATTGGTAGAGCTTAACATTTAGTGCTTAAGATGTTAAATAATGAAAAATTTCAATCACTGGTAATTAACTTAAGTGTAATCCTGTTTCAGCTTAGCATTTATATTTGTGTCTATTCACTGATAATTTGATGAACTACTTATTTTTGTTCATTTGTGATATACTGCTTAGGACCATTAAGATTCATTATTAAGATTTTTGTTTGTTTAGCTTTCTGAATCAAAGCAAATTAGTGACCAGTTCGTAAAGATGGGTTGTTTTCTAGAAAATTTCAGTATTAGTCACAAGAATGCAGATTGAGTGAAATAATTGCATTAAATGAGGTAGATCATGATGAAAACCAGTGGGGTTGTTTTTAGAAACTTTGGTAAACATAATTAAGGGATGGAAGTAATCTTTGTCGAATTTCTTTGACAGTATTCTATTGATGGATCATTTTGTTTATATATTGAGATGACCACTTTCCTTCAGTGTCTGTCTTATATGAAAACAGTTCTAAGTTGTAAAAATTATAACATTATAAGAAGAAAAGTAATGCAACTTCTGTTCAAGGTTGTGAAGGAAAAATTAATAGGGTTGAGTAGGCCATCTTGACACAAGTAAATTTTATTTGGTTGGAGTTAGTATTTTTACTTGTTCCTCATGGAAGTTTATATTTGTGAAGTGTATTTCTTTAAGCCTGTTCGTTTTTCATATGAGTAAGTTGGGGACCTCATTAAAGGAAAAGTATTGGTTAATATATAACAGTCAGTGAAACTCATTTGATTAAAACTCTCATGTAGTACTATAAACTAAAACGTTTGTTAATTAAATAAAATACTTAAAACCAACAGAATTCAAACAGCATCAATCTTTATAGAAATCTTAAACAAATTGTTTTTCTGTGTTAAAATTAGTGTTCACAATGAGAATTTATTTTAATTGCTGTGGTATAGGTTCTTTGAGTTTGGTATGTGTACATTATTGTCTTATGTGACCAAGTTTTCTCTTCAAATTAATTTGAAAACTTGATGGATTCAAATACTATTTACCCTTCACATGGCTAATATGCTTTTGTTTACAAATTAAATTTGCCTCTGTGTCAAGATAATTAGTAAACTAAATTAGTAACTGGCCTTGATATGATGATGACTTTGATGTCACTTGACAGTGCATGCTTACAAGCTTCTTATCCTAACCATTCAGTATAGATTTATTAGGATTTTTAATTGGAAATGGTGTTGACCTGAAAGAAACCAAGGCTGAACATACAAAGCATAGGGTTTATTGAGCCAATATGATTGCAACCGGGGAAACACATAGATCAGGTCACTCTGATGCGCTTCAAGGGAGACCAGTAGAGCTTAGCATTTTATTATCACAGGAAGGGAGAAGAATCAAAGGAGAGAGGGAGAAGAGGAAACCCTCCTTTATCATAACATCAGTTTTTCTGTTGGTTGCACATGATGTATAGATTTGAGATTGTTAACTTGGTTGCATCTAGGTTATTACTTTCTGGTGCCAGTAGGTCTGCTTTTAAGTTAAAATGGTCTTAAGATAACGTTTTCCAAGACATGAGACGTGACTCATCCCTTATTTCCCAAGACACTCCAATTTAGCTAACTTGGTCAGAGCAGATTTTTTATTTATCAATGGTAAACATTTTGAAATAACTAGCATAGGAACACCTTAATTTCCCTTTTCTTTAGTAATGTAGTGGTTAAGAGCATTGGCTTTTGTTAGCATTGGCCCTAACATTAGGTCTTTTACTTATTGGTTATTTAGATTTGGGGGAGATTACTTAGTCTCTGAGTGAATGAATTTTCTGTCTGAGAGATGAGGATGATCACAAAAATGATGAGAAAAACACTGTTAAGGTTAAATTGTCTGCTGTGTGAAATCCTTGATCATATCACAGGTGTTTAATAATTGTCAGCTAATTATGTTCTTCAAATCTAAGAGAAGGGGATTCTGGTTGTAGATTTATTAAAGGCAAAAAAAGTGAATTTCTAGGTGGTAGACCATAGCATAAAGTAGTTAATGTGGTGATTGAATCAGAAACGTATGTGTGTAGAAGGTAGCTACATAGAGAGTGTAGTGAAAAACAGAAAAGAGAATGAGGAATTGAGATGTCAACTCTGAATTATCTGTATGGCCAATTTACTTTGTATTATACAAGGATACTTCACAAAGTTTGTGGAAAAATAGAATGAAAAGATAATACAAATCTTCACATGAACTTTGTGAAGTACCTTTCTATGTGGGAGAATTTTAATTCTAATTTGTCTTCTGAAGAATTGGGCCACTTACCCTCCACCGTTGAATTTATATTTAAGGAATAAAAATAACTCATATTCATAGGTATGGGGAGAGCATGAATAACAAGACAGTGATTTTTAAAGTCAGTTACTGTCACATTATGTTTATTTGCGAGGATAGAGGGAAATAATTATATGAAAATCCAAAACTCATATTTGCCTTCAGGTAGTTTGAACTTAAATTTGAATATGAGAATACCTGCTTAGATGATCTTGAGTTAATAAGCACATGTAGTTTATAGAAAGAAGTCACTGAGGTCACTTATTCTAATTCTTTTATACAGGTGTTAAGGTCATTCATCAATATTCAATATATACATTTTCTCTTTAAAAGAATAATCAGTTTGGGTCTTTTGCATATAGTTTACTAATTGATAAGGTATTGGATAATGTTTGAATCTAAGAGCTTAAATACTTGGAAAGTTCCAAGAGACTTTATAAAGATAATGTATGAATAGATGAGCCAGTTTATAAACAGCATAAAATGGATATAAATGATTCAGATAGAGTTTTGCCTTTTAGTTCCACCACCTCTCTTTCCATTACTTACAGGCAGTTATTACCATCAAGAACACTTTTTCTTAAACAGGCAGGTTTATGTACTTTTATTCCAAGTAGTTATACAGTACATAGATTGTCTTTACCATGTTTCTCTTATAATTTTTCTCATTTTTCTTTAATGGGTCAACCTAAATTTTTTTGAAAAAAGAATACCTTTAATTTGAATTGTAATTGGAAATCTATACTGGAGATAGTGTGTGATTTTTCTAGTAATTATTTAAATAGAAAACTTTTCGCAGTAACTGAGGCAAGAACTGTTGTTTTCAGTTTTATAAAGAAGAGATTAAGTAATGTGTACAATGTTGTACAGCTAGTAAGGTTGGAGCTAGTATTTAAATTGTGATAGATCTGGTACAGAAGCACAGAAAGATGACCGTAACGCTGTGCTGTAATATTTAAATGAGTGTTTAATAAGCACAATAACACTGTGTCTGTTTCTCTTTCCTCCCAATCCCTATCCTTCAGCTGCTTTTACAGGTATCTTACTTGGTTACCTATTCTTTTGTGAATTATTTCTAAGGCTTCACCTTTCTTCTTTAGAGAATATTTCATCATTCTTTGCACTGAAGACCTCCCTGAGGAAACAGCCAGAATATTTCTTGCTTCTAGGTGTCTAGGAATACAATTTAAGAAAAGGCAAAATTTGTACTCAGGAACTCTATTGAAGTTTAAAGATAATTTACCTGCTTGTATATCTACTCTCCTTCTCTTCTGCCTTCTAGTTTTGATCAATGATTGCATATGTATAAAAAATGTTACTCCTTTTTGTATCTTCAGCCGTCTATATGGGATCACTTTCCTTCTGCTTAAAGTACATTTTTAAAAATTTACATTAATAAGGATCTTTTCTTGGGGAATTACTTGATTTTATTTGTCTGAAAAAGTTTTATTTTTCCTTTGCCATGCCTGGCATTTCCAAGTTCCAGTCTCTCCAAAATATTCTTCAGGGCAGATTAGATCCTCCTCAGCTGTTAGGTTCCTTTGTACAGCTTTTTTCTTTACTTCTCCCTCTAAAAGTTTGTGTTGAGATCATTCCCTTGCTGATGACCCTCCTCTACGACACCTGGATTCCTCTGAGACCTTGCAAAGTCTTACTACTTTTTTGCATTTCACAGTATCAGTCAGTCCTCAGATTCCTTGGTTTTATTTAATTTTGACTTTGAGTTCCAGGGTAAGATTTTCTCTTATCTTTTATTGTTAATTAATTCCAATAATAGTTTTTAATACTTTATTCATGCTGTCATTATCCATTTTCCAAAAGTAGTAATTGCAATACTTGTTCAGTATAATTTTTCATGTTCTTCATTGTTCTCTGAGATCTTTATTCTTATTTTCATATTGTTGACTTCTTTATGTAATATCTTCAGAAAAGCTATACATTGGCGATATACTTTCTGTGTCCTTGTAAGCTTGAAGATGTCTTTCTTATCCCTTCATATTGAGCCTTTTTAGGCAGCCAAGGAGTTAGAATGTTTATCCTAGGAGATCAACGTGTGTTTAATTTTTGGAAAGATGAACCTTCTCTCAGTTTGTTGTAGGCCCTTCTTGTTTTATCCTTCAGCATTGCAACAGGTGAAGCACCACACTAGCTTTATGTTTTGGAGAATTTGAAGTCTCAGTTGAACCCGAGATTCCCTCCACCTTCCCCTGGGAGACCTTGTTTAGTGTTGGTTTTTGAGATGATCCACTAGGAAGTTTAGTTTAGTTTGTTTGGGGCAGGACATCATCACAAACATCTTCCCCCCTCACTAGCTCACAGGATCATATCTTATTTAATACACAGAGCTAAATTCAATTTATATTTTCTGGGGTTTTTCTCTTTGAGTTCTTTTATTTTATTTTAAACTTTCCAACTATGAAAATAATGCTTTCAGAGTTTTTCTAAGGGAAGACATACTTCACTGCAGTAATTGTGAACATGTTCATGTGTAACACCTATTTGATTATATGTACTCATTGATTAAACTCTAGGAATAGTGTTTCGTGTTTTTAGCAACTGCAGTAGTCTTGAGGAAAATCTGCATAACATTTATTATTCCTACTACCATCTTCAGAAGCCAGGATTGAGTTGGTATCCCTTCACCTCACATAATGCTGTGAATGTAGTTAGATGGTCAGTATATATTTGAATGAACTGATATTTTGAAAATAGAGTTCTCTTTTTATCAGTCATAGATTAATTAGATATTTAGAAATACAAGGACTATAGTTCCTTGCTTTTTGGTAATAACTTTATAAGTGGGGTAAAAAGAATGAAAAGGAATTGGAAAATTTAATTCTCTTTTCAAAATGGGGAAGGGGAAAATAGAAATGTATTCTATATTCTAAGTATTAAGAGTCATTAGGATGAAATTTGCAATTTTTTATAAGTTAATGAAAAGTATTTTAGAATATAATTAATCTTGGTTTTGTCAGTTAACATTCTGGGCCATTGTCTAGCAGATTTTTCTGTATCTCTTGACATTATTCAACTTTTGTTATATTCTTTGGTGTTTTAGCTTTATTTCTTAAGCTGGAATATAGTTTGTACTTATTTAGCTTAATTATTTTACCCAGGGAAGCAGCTGTTATTTTTAAATATAATCAAGATTTGGAATACACTGTTGTTTTGGTGATTGTATTTTATGCTAAAATTTTAAACTGTGTGTAACTCTTGCTCGTGCTTTATTTATGCAGAATATCCTCCGAATCCTAAATCTAGAGCTCCAAGGATGCTGGTCATTAAGAAAGGTAATACAAAAGACTTACAGCTATCTGGATTCCCAGTAGTAGGAAATCTTCAGTCACAGCCAGTTAAGAATGGAACTGGTCCAAGTGTTTATAAAGGCTTAGTCCCTAAACCTGCTGCTCCACCTACAAAAGTAAGTTCTAAATTATTACAAGTGCAAGTTTCGAGTTGATATCAATTTATTTACTTTTGGGGAAAAACGTTAAGAATTATGTACTAAAGTTGGGGGGTGGGGTATTCATGGTGTGCTGATTTGTAAGTGTAAAGAGTTGGCTCCTTGTGTGCTATTAATTTTATTTTTTTAGGTGGTGTGCTTATTTGTCTGTATGTGTTTTCTTGTTTCAATAGTAATAAATTTATAAAATTTTTGTTTTGCTAGATTTATATGCTTAATGATAATATATAATATTTGATATATTTGCTTAATGATAATATATAATACTGTTTACCTGGTACTTAGTTTTAGGTTTTTGAAAGTCTTGTCTTATCATTTGAAAGAAACCTAACTTTAGTTTTTATAAAGCTTTGAAAGAAATGGTAATTTAGTTAGCTGGTTTTTATCTGAATACCAGGCTTTGATTTTATTTGCAGAAAAAGACAGGAAGGGACAGAGAACTGTGTGGTAATGATGAAGTAATACAAAAATAACTTGTTATGAGCCTGATGTAGTCATTTTTATTTTATAGTGTTCACTTTGTTTTTCTGTTTCCTGTAATCTGTTTTTCATAGCCACTAGTGTGTGTGTGTGTGTTTTTCTTTAGCCTACACAGTGGAAAAGCCAAACTAAAGAAAATAAAGTTGGAACTTCTTTCTCTCATGATTCTACTTATGGTGTTGGCAACTTTAATGCTTTTAAATCGACTGCCAAGAATTTCAGTCCATCAGCAAATTCAGTGAAAGAGGTATGTTGTTAAAAATTATTCCTGAGGAATGTAACATGTTATTTATTATTCAAAATATTTTAACATTTATTTGTACATGTTTGTGGGGTACACTCTGTTCTTTCAGTACATGCATGTACTGCACAATTATTCACTTAGGGTAGATAGTATAGTTTTGTATCCATTGTTTCATCACTTCTCCCTGCTGCCTCTGGTAAACATTATTCTACACTCTACTCCTATGAGAACCACCTTTAAAAAAAAAAAAAGATTCCACATATAAGTAACATCACGCAGTGTTTGTCTTTCTGTGCCTGACTTGAAATGTAACATATTTTAATCATGGTAATTTAACAGTGAATAAAAGGTGTAAATTAATTAAGTGAATACATTAAAATGAGATATTTTAGTTCCTTCAGAAAACTTGATTCAGATACTTCCCTCTGTTTGCTAACCTTTTTTACACTTGGGGAAGGTAGGATGATTTTTTAAATTTTTAATGAAAAGTTTAAAACATCCTAAAAAATAGGAAAAATCATACAGCAATTCCCCTATATACCTATCGACCAGAAAGAATAATTTTTAAGAAAATGATTATTATGAAAAATGCAATTTTACTTGATATATGTGATATGGTTATGCTGTAGGGTTGAACCTCAACTAATAATGAGGATTATATAATCTTTTGGGGATGATGGATATTTTATTAGTGTTAAAAATGAGATGGGGAGAGAGGAGGAAGAAGAGGGAAAGATGCATGTTGTTATTGTACTGGCTGTTGTTATTGTACCTAGTCACTTAAGTATTTCGTTCTCATTTGACCAGGTTAAAAAAAATTACAGAAGCAGCTAGTACCTAGTCACTTAAGTATTTCGTTCTCATTTGACCAGGTTAAAAAAAATTACAGAAGCAGGGAGTTTCCTGACTAGTCCAGGGTCAAAGGACACTTAACGGCTATGTTGTTATACCTGAAATTGCTTTGGGCACCATATTGGTACATAATACCTCCTCAAATGCTGTTTTTATTTATCTTCTCAATCATAGAATTTTTACATTGTGAAAGAAGAACCAGCATTACTTGCTGGTTAAAAGTGCTTCAATTAATTATAAAATACAGACTTTAATGCCAGCAGTTGACCATTATTATGGTTTATTTCCATGGTTAAAAATACCTATGACACAGAATTTTAACACTCTATTTTCTATTGTGTCAAAACAAAATACCAAAGAATGAAAAACAAAGGAACTCCAGTTAATGTCCATTTTCACCCTTCCCTTCCTGCTCTCATAAAAATTTCCTCTGGTGAAATTCAACCTGATAAAACCTATGTGTATATGTGTTATAATAAACTGTAGGAAAGGTCTTACTGGAGGTGTTATTCAGACGCTAGAAGTCTGGACCACAGTTTGAAAAACTGTTCTGTGTATTATGGAAATGTTAAACAATGTTAGGATGCATTTATAAAATATTTAAATTCTTAATTTAGAATCACAGTTCTGAGTACTATCAGACCTTCATTGTTTCTGGGATAAGAAAATTCTTTTGATGATTCATTCAGTAGGAAAGAAAAATGTATAGGGATAAAGGGAAATAAGCTTTGAAATAGACCTTAAAATGAATTTTGCATTGTGAATAAAGGTAAAATAGGAAGCTGTGGTGGTTGTGAATTTTATATTGATGTGAGTTCCTTGTCTACATATTTATTAGTATTTCTAAATTTCCTCTTAGTGTAATCGTTCAAATTCGTCTTCGCCTGTTGACAAACTTAATCAGCAGCCTCGTTTAACCAAACTGACACGGATGCGCACTGATAAGAAGAGTGAATTTTTGAAAGCATTGAAAAGGGACAGAGTAGAAGAAGAACATGAAGATGAAAGCCATGCTGGCTCAGAGAAGGTAACTGAATTTGCAGTAATACCTGATTTGACATTCACATGTCATTGAAATACTTGGTCAAATATTTAGGACCTTGGAATAAACTCTAGTCAAATTTTTATGTCCTTGAAAAGAAGGCTAGTTAACCATTTAAGTAAATAATGACTTCCTTTCTAAAGTAGATTTTTCTCATTCTGTTGTTTCTATGCAAAATTAAATTTTAAAAATTTCTATTTATGTCTGTTTTCTTTTGTTTCCCCCATCTTGCTCGCCTTCATCCTTTGGTTTTACTTTTGTTGAATAGATGTGAATATTTAGGGCCGGAAAGCTCTGGGTATCCTTTCCAGCTCAGTTTTCCATTCTTGTGAGACTGTTTCATAAATTTAATGATTTATAGGTATTATATTTATATATTTTCAATGGAACTCTAGCCAGTATCTATTAGAAGTTTTGATTAGAACTCACTTTTTTTTTCTTTTTAACTCCCTAAAAATCAGGATGACGACTCATTTAATTTGCATAACAGCAATAGTACTCACCAAGAAAGGGATATAAACCGAAACTTTGATGAAAATGAAATTCCACAAGAGAATGGCAATGCCTCGGTGATTTCTCAACAGATTATTCGGTCTTCAACCTTCCCACAAACTGATGTTCTTTCAAGTTCACTTGAAGCAGAACACAGGTTAGTATATATTTTTATTTTTTTCTATGGCATTTTCTGTATTCAGGATTTTGATGTTATTTTAGAGCACTTAAGTGATTTCTTTTAAAGCTTATTGAGATATAATTTATATACCATAAATTTCACCCGTTTTAAGTGTATAGGTGAATCCTTCTATCATCACAAGAAGAAACCCCCTTTTTCATTTCCTCATTTTCACTTTGTGTCCTAGGCAACCAAGAATCTACTTTCTGTCTCTATATAGATTTACCTTTCATGGATATTTTATGTAAGTCATACAATATGTGGTCTGTTGTATCTAGGTTCTTTCACTAAGCATAGTATTTTCAAAGTTCACTTGCATTGCAGCATGTCAGTACTTTGTTCCTTTTTATTGTCGAACTGTACACTATATGGTTGTACTACTTTTTGTTCATCAGTTGATGGGTATTAGTTGTTTTTGACTATTATGAACAATGCTGCTATGAACATTCATGTACACGTTTTTATGTTTTTATTTCTTTTGGGTAGATACCTAGGAGTTGAGTTGCTGGGACGTATGATAACTCTGTGTTTAACATTTTAAGAAACCGCCAAAATATTTTCCAAAATGACTGCACCATTTTATATTCTCCTTAGCAGTATAGAAGGTTTCGGTTTTTCCATATTCTCATCAACACTTGGTACCATCTGTCTTTGCTTATAACCATTCTAGTGAGTGTGAAGTGTTATATCTTTTTGAAGGTTTGAATGTGTATTCTCCTAATGACACAGTGTTGAGCATCTTTTCATATGCTTATTGGCCATTTATATATCATATTTGGGAGAAATAGCTATACAAATACTTTGCCTATTTTTAAGTTACATTCTCTTATTAAGTTGTGAGAGTTCTTTATATATTTTATGTAGAAATATTATCATATATATGATGTGTAGGTAATTTCTCATTTTGTGAGTTGTTTTTTTTACTTTTTCAGTGATAACCTCTTGAAGAGCAAAAACTTAATTTTGATGAAGTTTATCTTTTTTTTTTTTTTTTTTTTTTTTTTGCTTATACAAGCCTTTTTTCTTTGGTGGCTGGTTGTTACACTTATGCAAGTTTTATGTATGGTGTGAGATAGGAGTCCAAATTCATCCTTTCCCGTGTGGATATTCAGTTGTCCAAGTATGTGATTTATTTTTTTATTGTAAACTTGCAAGAGCACTTTCTACTTCTGTCATAGGAGTCTTAAACATTTTTTTAAGTAGTAGCCTCTTAAGTGGATTAGTCTCAGAATTGAAGAATATTCAAATCTAGAGAGAACTTTCTTTTTTTTCCTATGACTTTATCATTAACGGTAGGTATTTTGCAGAAATGACGGACCCTTACTGTGTGGCCTTGAGATAACCACATACACACAGTTTAGCATCAATATGCAGAGAAATTGTGGAACTCTGCTCAATTCCTTTTTAGTAACTAAAGGACTGTAACTTCTAAAGCAAAGAAAAAAGTTAATTTATACACTTATATTGTCACGTATAACTTTATAATAGCTTTGTATAAACTGAATTGTTTTTCTACTAGAAATTCTTGCTATTCCAGGACGAGGCTTAGTGCAGAGTGATACTTACTAACAGCCACATTGATTGACTTAATTTTTTGTCAGTTTTTCTAGAATCTCAATTAATTCTAGGGCCTTTGGGAACTGGATTATACCTACTGTGGAATAATTTTTGCAGAATTTGTAATTTCTGCTTCTGTTTTCACTAAGAATCTGAGCTCCACAAGCACAGAACTTTTCGTCCATTTGGTTGACTACTGTATCTAGCACCTAGATGGTACTTGGGACAGTACTATGTGCTTAAATTTGTTAAATGAATGAGCAAAGTAGAAGTTGCAGTATTTTTCTGTCTACTTTGTAAAACTATATTAGTTTTGAGGGAATACCTACCATTTCTTTTTTATCTTGTATTTTGATATTTTAGTCTACATTTCTCCTACCATGAGACCCATTTAATAAAGGCTATACCTTTATTGAATTAAAGGCCCCTTTAAATCTTACTTTTCTGACTTGAATCATACATGATTCTTTATTTTTATCTCTATGATTATATTTGTTCTCCTTCAGATTATGTCCTGTTCTGCCTTTGTAGCTGTAATTATTGTATGTGAAAATATAGCCATTTGTTTTAATTTTGTGAATAGGACTTAACTTTTGCCTAAAATAATTTATTGGGTTGATGATAAATGTGAATGTTCATTTAATGAGCGTTGGTTTAATTAAATTAGTTTAGAGCTAACTTAACCAGATAATATCTATAAATTTACTGTTTGGAAAAACTGCATTTTTTTACTGTACATTTATTGTGAATGGATGAATAAGTAACCACTCTTATTTTTATTCCCTCCCAAGTTTGGAACTTCACTCTACCACACAATATGATTTATGACTTGTGACTGGAACTGAGCGATGGCTGCAGTATCAAATCATATAGAAAATAATAGTAACATTAATTTCTTTTTTAAAAAGATTAACAAATTCTAGGATTTCCCCCCATCTTTCTAATGGATCATCTTGTGAAACTTTTTTTCTGTTGTTCAAGATTTGGGTATTTTCTCTCTGTCTCTCTTTGCTATTACAGATAAATGTGTGAGCATCCTTGCATTCATATCCTTGAATATTTGTATAATTGTATATATAATAGATTACTGGGAGTGAATTTGATTGGTCAAGTGGCATACATATTTAAAATAATCAGTTACTGCCATATTATCCAAAAATGTTCTGCTGCTTCGCACTCTCACCAATAATCGCTTAAATATTTATAGTTAGACAATTGGTAGAAAATAAGGCCTGTGTGTAGAGAACTAAGTATACAAATAAGTCATATTTTCTTTTTTTTTTTTTTTTTTTTTTTCCCTTTTTTTTTTTTTTTGTGTCCGGCAACGGATCGCAAACCTCGGTGTCGCACCCATACCGGACCGGGACTGGCAACGGGATCGCAATCCTCGGTGTTGCGCCTGCACCTCGCTCAGCCAGTGAGCGGCCGGTCTGTATGTGGGATCCGAACCCTCGGCGGGAGCGCTGCCGTGCTTCCCAAGCGGCGCACTGTAGCAGTGCGCCACCGGGCCGGCCCATAAGTCATATTTTCTAATGGTAGTAAAAGATGAATTCTCTTTTATGGAGATAAAGCATTGGCAATAAGAATAAAGGTAAAAGATAAATTCCTTACCTATGTAATCTATTTATTAAGGCTATAGTCAGGAAGTTGACCCCTCACACCTTTAATACCTGTTTATTGTCTTCATATTTCCCGTCAGTACTTAGTAGCAAAGGAAAGTTGGCCCCCATACCTATTAGGAAATATTCTTATAACCCCTAATAGCCATACTGAATGTTTTAACTTTTATTATTTAGTCTGCAGAGCAGATATTTAGTGCAGGAAGTATTTTGGTGGTTTCTTGTTTTATTCATGAAGATTTGACAGAGTTTGGTTCTCTGTGACTCCTAACAGGAGAGATTTAGGAGCTAAGCCAAATAAAGCAAGACGAAAAATATCCTAGATTGGAATACGCTTCAGGGACAAAGAAACCAAATCCATGCTTCATAAAGAGATATCAGCAATGCCTACCTGAATGATTATTTCAATATATACATGTCTTCATTTCTTTTAGAGACCTTATATTTTGTCGGTTTAAAACAGTGGATACTTTTTTGTATTTAGGTTTACTTTAAAAGTTTGAACAAAGTTTTTTTTTTTTTTTTTCCCCCCTAAAAGATGACCGGTAAGGGGATCTTAATCCTTGACTTGGTGTTGTCAGCACCATGCTCACCCAGTGAGCTAACCGGCCATCCCTATATGGGATCCGAACCTGTGGCCTTGGTGTTATCAGCACCACACTCTCCCGAGTGAGCCACGGGCCGGCCCATGAACAAAGTTTTTTCTTTCTCTAGACTATACCTATTTTTATTTATTTATTTATTTATTTATTTTTTGTGTGTCTTTTTGTCTTTTTTCGTGACCGGCAACGGATCGCAACCCTCAGTGTCGCGCCCGTACTGGACCGGGACCGGCAACGGGATCGCAACCCTCAGCGTTGCCCCCGCTCCTCGCTCAGCCAGTGAGCCGCCAGTCTGCACGTGGGATCCGAACCCTCGGCGGGAGCGCTGCTGCGCTTCTCAAGCGGCGCACTGTAGTAGTGTGCCACCGGGCCGGCCCGACTATACCTATTTTTTTTTATGAAATTAGGGTAATTGAATTAATTTTGCATAGGAATGCCATTACCTAGTGGGGACGTGAAGATGAAAAAGATTAAGAACATTTTATTACTAGCCAAGAGTAGAATAAAACTGTGGATTCAAGATTTCAGATTTGGTAGCAGCTAGTATTTAAATTTCGAAAACTATCCATAGAAATAGTTGGGATAGCTTTGTGGAAATGTTGCACACACTAAAAAGATCCCAAGGCAATAAAGTTAGGAATTAAAGGTGCTAATGATATGGAGTCATTTTAATTTAAATATCTTAGCTTGAGTTTTCTTGACTGCATAAGTAGAGTATATGTTTGTAAGTATTCCAAAGACATGTATCAGTACGTTTTTTTTCCCCTAAACTAACAAAGTTGTGGCTTCTTTCAGATTTCAGGTTTTATTTCTTTATGAAAACGGAGCAATACTTCTTTTTCATGGCTTCATACTTTCTGTCAACTTTATTATGATTTTTAAGTTATATACATATTAAAATACTCATTGGTTGTCTTTAACAATCAGATGTCACTGATACAGTTTTCAAGGATAATTCTTTTGTTCCCCCGTTCAACCAAAATATAAATTAAATAAGGCTTATATATCATTCTTAGTTTTATTGCCAAGTTTCAACAGCTTTTTTATTATCAGGATATAAAGGTTAGTCTCAACATCAGAGGGATAGTTGTCATCTTGTTTAAGCAAGCATCAAATGAATTAATAGAAATGAGTGCCAGAGAAATTCAAGGGTGTTTGGAGGTAGAGATCATTATGGCTTGGGTACCAGTCAGAAAGTTTTAGTTGAGACCTAAACTAAATCTTAAAGAGTGAGACATAAATAAGTGCAAGGGCACTAGATAGTCATTTTGGAAGGAAAAGGGATGTGAAGGAATGTTTAGAGTTGAGTCTATACCTAGTTTGTTTTAGAAGTAGTGAGTGACATATGTTGACGAGTGGAGAATTTATTTAATGGAATTAAAGATGATGTTGGGAAGGCAAGGCCTTTGAGTTATATTCATGCTCCTTCCATGTATCAGATGAAGAAATAACTCAGAGGAGTGAAGGAATTAATCTGTCTTATACCTGTTTTGGGATAGAGTAGGAACTGTGACCCAGGTCTTCTGAGATTTTTGTGCTTTTTCTAGTGTAAGGAATTTGAATTTGTGATCATGGTGTAAACAAAGTTAAGGAGTTTTTTCTTTAGGAAGTAAGAAGCCATTGAAAATATTTATCATAGGGTGGTAATTGTGAAAGTGGTATTAGGATGATTTGCTACCAGCTTGAAGGAAAATGGAAAGAAACGTTGTAAATGAAAAAGCAAGGTATGGATGAGGGTTAACAGTAATATTCCTAATTGTGGGGGAAAGGGAAACATGCAGATTATTTGTTTTGAAAGCTATTTCAGAAACAGTCAACTGTTACAGCCTCTGGAAGGAGGGAGGGGGGAAAGGAGAGTTAGGAATACTTGCCTTTTGTTATGGATTTTGCCTTCACAATATTTAAGAATTTTTTCTATCCTCATTATTCAGTTATGATTCAGTTTTTATCAGTTGGTGGAGTGTTATGTTTCGTAACACCAATGTCAAGGGATTGGATCTCCATACTGGCCAGCTGCAAAAAAACAAAAGCAGTTTTTAAAAGTAAAAAAATTAAAGTACAAATCTAGCAAAGGCAGTTGGATTGTTCTACTAGTTCATTTTTATTTTATTGTCAAAGTTAGTTTATTGTACTTAATCTTATGTATTTATTCATTTTCAGAAATATGTTTAAAGCATATACTTAAAAATTCTTTTGCTGTATCTTGTGGACTTTGTATAATGGAAAGAGATCATGTTTTCTTGTATATAATATAAGTGGAATTGTCCTACTAAGGTGAAGCTCTAAATTAAGCTTAATTTCCTTCTTTTCAGATTGTTAAAGGAGATGGGCTGGCAGGAAGACAGTGAAAATGATGAAACATGTGCTCCCTTAACTGAGGATGAAATGAGAGAATTCCAGGTTATTAGTGAACAGGTAAGAAAACCTGAATCATACAAGTTCATTTAAATTACTCAATTAATGAGAGCAACATAATTATAAGTTAGCATTGGGTGGGGGGTGGTTATAGTTTTGTTTAGGCATTTTAGACATCACATTGTAGGTCAGAATTCCTCCACAGTGAAGATTTCACACTCTCCACAGAGAAGACTTCTTTAAACCATTTGGTATGCAGTAGTTAGGAATTAATGTCCACAGTATGTCTATGATTTGTCATTTTCCAGATCATCTTTTTTGTTTTTCTGGCATGGGTGATAAGAAGTAGAGAGCATTAATGGCTTCGCAAGTAACTTCACCTTTTATCCTTTTCCTTGCCCAAGAATATTTCATACTGTAAAATGTCTTGTTTTATCTCTCTATAGTTACCTTTTTTGGAAGAGTATTAGGAAATGTTTGATAGAACATCAGGAAGTTAAGATGTTTTTTCAAATCCATTATAGATCTTTAATAGTTCTTGGTCATGTAGAGCTCATTTTATATACAGAGTGGTTATAATTGATACTGTGATTTTCAAAACCCTTTTTAAGTGTTTTAGTATTTTGAATGAAATCTTTGAGGAAATTAGTCATGCTAACTTAGTACAATGGACTTGATCATCTTATTTAAAAATTTTTTGAGTGAGTTTAATATATTTTTTTTCCCCTCAACTGCACTTTTAAAAATTGTGTTTAAAAACATATAAGATTTACCATTTTAATCATTTTTACATGTGCCATTTTTACAGTGGCATTAAGTACATTCTCATTGTTGTGCAATCATCACCACCATCCATCTCCATTCCTAGGTGTTCTATTAAATTTTTTGTTGCTGTTATAAATGGGTAACTTTCTTGGTTTCTTTTTCTTCTAGTTCTTTGTTGGTGTATAGAAATGCTACTGATTTTTGTACGTTGATTTTTGTATCCTGCCACTTTACCGAATTTGTTTATCAGGTCTAGGAGTTTAGGAGCCCTTAAGTTTTCTTTCTCTTTATGTAAAGTCATGTTACCTGCAAACAGGGACAGTTTGACTTCTTCCTTTCCAGTTTGGATGCCCTTTATTTCTTCTGTTGCCTAATTCCTGTGGCTAGGACTTTTAGTATTATGTTGAATAAAAGTTGTGAGAGTGGGGCATCCTTGTCTTGTTCCAGTTCTTAGGGGGAAGGCTTTCAGCATTTCCCTCTTCATTATGATGTTAGCTGTGGATTGGTCATATATAGCCTTTATGGTATTGAGATTCTTTCCTCTATACCTAATTTATTGAGAGTTTTTTTATCATGAAGCGATGTTGAATTTTATCAAACAGTTTTTCTGTGTCTATTGAGATGACCATATGGTTTTTTTCTTATGTTGATATGATGTGTCACATTTATTGATTTGGGTATGTTGAACCATCCTTGCATCCCTAGGATAAATCCCACCTGGTTATCTTGTATAATCTTTTTAATGTGTGGGTGAATTCAGTTTGCCTAGTATTTTACTGAGGATTTTTGCATCTGTGTTCATCAGGGATATTGGCCTGTAGTTTTCTTTTTTTGTTGTGTTCTTGCTTGGTTTTGGTAATAGTTAATGCTGGCCGTGTATTATGAGTTTGGAAGAATTCCATCCACTTTAGTTTTCTGAAATGGTTTAAGAAGTATTGGTATTAGTTCTTCTTTAAATGTTTGATAGAATTCAGCAGTAAAGCCATCTGGTCCTGGGCTTTTCTTGTGGAGAAATGGCTATTCTTTACTCATTTTTTTTTTTTAAAAAGAGGACTGGTAAGGGGATCTTAACCCTTGACTCGGTGTTGTCAGCACAACGCTCTCTGAAGTGAGCTAACTGGTCATCCCTATATAGGGATCCAGACCCGTGGCCTTGGTGTTATCAGCACCACACTCTCCCAAGTGAGCCACAGGCTGGCCCTTCTTTACTCATTTTTTAACTGGGTTGTTTTTGTTGACTTGTAGGGGTTTATATATATATATATATATATATATTCTCCCCCCCCCCCCAGGTATTAACCCTTTATTAGGTATATGATTTGCAAATATTTTCTCCCGTTCTGTGGATTGCTTTTTCACTCTATTGATTGTTTCTTTTGATGCATAGAAGTCTTTTAATTTTTGTGTAGTCTAATTTATCTATTTTTTTTCCTTTGTTTCTTGTGTTTTGTTGTCATATTCAAGAAATCATTGCCAAGTTCAGTGTTAGGAAGCTTTCCCCCTATGTCTTTTAAGAGTTTTATAGTGTTAGCTCTTATGTTTAGGTCTTTGATCCATTTTGAGTTAATGTGTAAATGGTGTAAAGGTCCAAGCTCATTCTTTTGCATATGGATATTCTGTTCTCCCAGCACCATTTGTTGAAAAGACTGTCCTTTCCCCATTCAGTGGTCTTGGCATCCCTGTCAAAAACCTTTTGACCATATATGCAAGGGTTTATTTCTGGGTGCTCTGTCCAGTGGTCTTTGTCTGTTTGCTGGCACTACACTCCTATGATTACTGTAGCTTTGTAATAAGTTTTGAAATTGGGAAGTGTGAAACTTCCAACTTTGTTTAAAAAGAATTTTGGAGTCCTTCAGATTTCATGTAAATTTTAGGATGGATTTTTCTTTTTCTGCAACAAATACCATTGTGATTTTGATAACAGATTGTATTGAATGTGTAGATTATTTTGGGTAGTATTAATATCTTAATAATATTAAGTCTTCCAAACCATGAGCATGGGATGTCGCTCCATTTATTGGTGTCTTTAATTTCCTTTAACATTGTGTTTTGTGATTTTTGGAATACAGGTCAGTCTTTGCCTACTTGGTGAATGTTATTCCTTATACTTATTCCTAAATATTTTATTCTTTAAAATGCTGTCAGAAATGGAATTGTTTTCGTAATATTCTTTTTGAATTGTTCATTGTTATTCTATTGTTAGTGTTCATTAGAAATGCAACTAATTTTTTTGTGTTGATTTTTGTATACTGCAACTTGGCTATATTTGTTCTAACAGTTTTTTTTTGCAGAGTCTTTGGGATTTTCCATGTCGTCTGTGAATGGAGATAATTTCACTTCCTTTCTAATATCTTATTTTGTCCTTTCTGATTAATTTTAATTTTTTTATACAGAATTTCTTAGTGAACTATGTTATTTTTTTACAGCATGACTATGAAGGTGATAATAGATAATCGTTTTGAAGGATTTTTTTCGGTCATGTTTATGGGATTGTATAATTTACATGCAGTATAATGCACTTTTAAGTGGACAGTTGGATGAGTTTTGACGAATGCATATATTTGTATAACCATGATCATAATTTCGATAAAGAACATTTCCATCATCCCCCAAATTTCCCCCTTAGCATTCAATCCGTTCACTCCCACCTCCGATCCCTGGTAACCACTGATCTATTTTCTGTCCTTATTGTTTAGCCTTTCTAGAGTATTTTACTAATGGAACCATACAGTGTATATTTGGGTCTGGCTTCTTTTGTGCTTTTGAAACTCATTCAGGTTTGCTGAGTAGTATTCCACTGTATGGATTTAGCAGTTTTTGTATACATTTGAAGGATTTGTTTTGAAATCTGAAGAAAAGCGTCAAGAGAAACCCACTGGGTACCATTACCATAGGATGGTAGTTCCAAGGAAAGCATAATATTGCCTAACCAAGATAATCAGCTTTAAAACCTTGTGATGGGGGCTGGCCTGTTAGCTCACTTGGTTAGAGTGTGGTGCTAATAGCATCAAGGTCAAAGGTTCGGATCCCACCAAAACAAAAACCAAAAAAACCCTTGCAATGACTGGGGCAGGTAGATAAAACCCTATTGATAATAAGATAATTAACTGATATAAAGGTCCTTTTGCACATACTGTGCCTTTGTATGAAGTAGGTTCTCTTGTTAGTCTGTAGATGAGGAAACTAAGGCTCATAGAGTAATTTTCTCTGGTTATGCGGTTTATAAGTAATGGAGTTGGAATTTGAGCTTAAGTCTGGCTGATTTCATAGCCCCTTTGCCTTTAATAGCACTCCTAATCACCATATTGTTTGAAGGTCAACTGTATTAGTGTCAGATTATGAAGGATGTTGAATGATATGTTGGTAGTATGGATTTTGTTGTATAATAGGTTCTTTGGAGGTTTTTTTAAGGGATGTGAAACAATCATTATTTGTATGTGAAGAGTGCAGTTATAGTGTAATGTGTACATTGGAAATGTAATTTGTCAGACTAGAATGAGGATGACCGTTGGGGACATATTGCAGAAACTAGGGGAAGAATAAAAAAGGTCCTAAACTAGGGAAGTGAGAGTAAAAATGGTCTTGACAAGAGTAAGAAATCTGAAGTAGAACCAGCAGGATTTTGAAGTTCCAACCTGGGAATTGCTGATAGTATCATTCAATATTATTAACAGGAATACAGAAGGAAGAGCTGGTTGTAGGAGTTCTTTTTTTTTTTTTTTTTTTAAATATGTTAAGTTAGATGTTCTTGGGGGGGTCTGGGCATTTACAGAAATCATGGGTAGAGACTTAGATTTGTTTTTTATAAAAATTCTCCATAGCTGATTTCAAGCTGTGGAAAGATTAGGTGACATTGGCTGATGAATTATGTGAGGCAATGATAGAACTTTGGGGAATGGGAAAGGTGTTCCTTTAAGAGGGACCAGGCATATTTCTAAGCATCGTGGTGGCTGAAATCATTGGAAGGGGATGCATGGCTTTTGTTTTTATTTACAGAAATCATGGGTAGAGACTTAGATTTGTTTTTTATAAAAATTCTCCATAGCTGATTTCAAGCTGTGGAAAGATTAGGTGACATTGGCTGATGAATTATGTGAGGCAATGATAGAACTTTGGGGAATGGGAAAGGTGTTCCTTTAAGAGGGACCAGGCATATTTCTAAGCATCGTGGTGGCTGAAATCATTGGAAGGGGATGCATGGCTTTTGTTTTTCTCAGTAGAGATGGTGAGGTCATTTGTTCAAAGTGAAGAGAGATAGACTTGATGAATTTTAGAATTAAGGCAAGGTAGAAAAGAAAATCTTCTGTGGAAAATAGAGAATTAAATAGGGGAGACAAAAAGGGAAATCGGGAGTTAAGAACCTAGACTTACTATTTGTAGTTATCAAGATATTTAACAAGTAATATTAGCTGTGATGGCAATGGCTCTTTGGGTTTGGACCTTGTTTTCAGAAATAGAGGACTATTATTTTTCCAGTATCTTAATCTCTGTGCTTAAAGAAAGGGTTCTATTTGATTTTGGTGTTTTGTACATGTCATTCTACTTATTTTACAAAGCGTGAATAAAGCAGACTGTGGGGTATGTGTTAACTTAGGTCAGAATAATAAAAATAACATTTGTAGCTTAATAGTTGCTGATTATGTTGGACAGCACCTGAAGATATTTATTACAGTTTTTACTTAAGGAAATAAAAATTTCGAAAGATTTAGTACCTTAAGTGTGATAGGATTATGATTCACATCTACCCTGTCTGGATCCAAAATCTGTGCTCTTTCCACTATATTATACACTAATTTTTTATGGTGGTTTGGTAGATGGTAAATGCTTTTCTCCCAAAAGAAGTGATTTTATTTCTAGGGAATACTTAGATCAATTTGATCAATTACCTGTATCTATATCACTTTCCAGAAGTGATATCATTTCCTGTGGAATTTTCAGGATTTTATTAACTTTATTACAGTCCTGGTTATATTTAATTATTATAGTATTCTTAATACATAAGTAACTCTTGGGGGATAATTTATTTATTCTACTCATTTGTTTTTGGCATTTCAGTTACAGAAGAATGGTCTGAGAAAAAATGGTATTTTGAAAAATGGCCTGATCTGTGACTTCAAATTTGGACCCTGGAAAAACAGCACTTTCAAACCCACAATTGAGAATGATGACACAGAGACAAGTAGCAGTGACACATCAGATGACGATGATGTGTGAAGGATTTCCTAACAGCTTTAGAAATTTTAGTGTGAAACATCTCTCATACAGTTTGGGGTGAATTGTAAAAATGAAGAACTATAATTTATGTAGTGAAATACCCCATTAGAAGATGATTTTTTTGGGGGACTTCAATATGAAGAAAACCAAGAATGTTGTGTTGGGCTGTGTTGAACATTATTTCTTTGTAAATGAATGTTGTAGAGATGAGGACTTGGGTTGATCCAGCATTGACTTTCTTCATCACTGCAGCATTTCTCTGACTAGCAATGTGACGATGTAACAAATGAGATTTTCTCATTTAATAATAAAAAATTGTGTAATGTTTTGCAAAGCTTCTGTCTTAAAATGTCCAGGTCTTAAGAAAAAAGGCAGCTTACACTGTTTTGCTTGCAGAATCGTATCTTTTTCGTACAATGGAAATTCTCAAGTCACTTTGTGCATCCTCCCCTCCTCCCCCGAAACAAACAAACAAAAAGGAAAATGTAGCATGTTGGCTAAAACTAGAGCAAAGTGCACTAAAACATTAATATTCTGAACTCAGCTGTTGTACTAGTCACCTTTTAAAGCATAAATTGCTCTTTAGCCATTTGTAGTGCAGTAAATGTTACAGGAAAGACTTGCCACACTTTTCTTCCAAATTTTAAGAGGTGATTTTCAAGAGCTTTATTTGGGTATGCTGTCGGACTAGGATTTTCAGAGTTGATGAACAAGAGTCTTGTGGGAAAACTTATTTTGATAAATTATTACACATGCAGAAAAACTGATCACAGTGACTGGATCTGTCCACACATGGAAAATAAACTGGATTTTCAGAATATTGTTGTTCTTTGTAGTGTTCAAAGTATTGGTCTCTAAACACAACTTGCTTTATCCACTTATTAAAACAAAAATAAACTTTGTTTATTAAAGACGGTGATTACTTTCTGAGGTTAGAAAAAGCTGAACCTTTTTATCAAACGCACAAGCTTATTAATGAATGAATGTTAAACAACTATATTTTCATTTGCACATTAATTTTAGAATTGTTTCTGTCTTACTGCTCACTGGAAGAGTATTTATTTATATTGTATTTTTCTGGTTTTGTTTAATCTTACTTGCTTTTCGCTTAACCCACCCCACTCCTGTGCTTAAATATATTCTAATTGTAAAGAGCATAATCTTAGAACAAAAATGTATGAGGTTTTATGTCAGCTTGGTTTAATTGTAAGAGTTTGGTTTTTAAAATTTATTTTCTAAGGTTGTAGGGGTGTGTGTGTGCATGTGCGTGTGCTTGCTCTGTGTGTGTGTGTGTGTGTGTGTGTGTGTTTGCTGTTTCCGTGTCATTACCCTGCTCAGACCCCTCCAGTTTTGCTAGAAGCTGTATTTTTTTGTTCCCACTGAGACTGGTGGTGATGGGGAAATTAAAATAAAAATAACATGCTAGCACCCCCACAAAACTTTTGTGGATGACTTACAGTGATAAAATATTAACTATATTGTTAATTTTAAATAGGTTTTTATTATATAATTTGCCACAATTCTGTTTAATCAGCTAAAGTTAAATGTCATATTAGCTACAGTAGAGACTAAAGCATGCTTTGACAAAACTGTCAGTATCACATATTGAATATCTTTGAGACTCTTAGATTGAACTATTTGCTTACTATTAATGAAATCTATCAGATGCAAACTGTTTTTGCTAAAACAAGCTAGAAAGGGACCTGAGAAATGTGGTTTACAGTTAAAAGTCGTACTGTGTTTTCTGATTTCAGATAATATTCTGTAATTTTTATTTTCTGGCAGCTTCCTTATGTTCAGACAGTTCTATCTGCCTTAATTCACATTTACCAGCACTTAACTAATGTTTATTGCGCTTTTAAGTATTATGATATGGAATGTGTTTAGTAGTTTACTTTTTATAAATGTGATAAAGTACAGCAGTATGGTTACACTACATGTTAACTGATGGCATTAACAAGTTTAGTGACTGAGGGGATGGAGCCTTACACGTATAATTTAAGAGAACTGTTAAAGTTTAGTATAGTTTTAACTTGCTGTCTAAAGAATGGGCAGCTGCTAAAGAGTTTACTCTATTGTTTGAAAAGGAGTCCGCATGTACAGAAACTAGTTAAATTATAGATCTGATGTGGAATTGCTGAACTCAGAACTAAGCCAGGGAGGTGTGAAAAACAGTAATTTTGACAGCTTCAAACTCATTTTCTCTAGTTTTTTTAAAACCACTTTTATCGAGGTATAAATTGACATAAACAACACATGTAAAGCATACAGTTTGATGTTTTGTCCCATCTGATCACCACAACCAAGGTAGTGAACATAATTATCAACCCTCAAAATTTCTTGGTGTTCTCTTCTTTGTAAATCCCTCTCACTACTAATCCCTGTTTTTGTTTTTTGTTTTTGCATAAAATGTAATTAATGAGCAAAATTCTTATAGTGATAATTTAAAATAGCATTTCAAAAATTTTATCTTATTTGTTTAAAATAGGATTAGAATAATTTTAATTTCTATAAATATGTTTCTTTTCTTTTTTTTTTTTGTCTTTTGTCTTTTGTCTTTTTCCGTGTCCGGCAACGGATCGCAACCCTCAGTGTTGCCCCCGCACCGGACCGGGGACCGGCAACGGGATTGCAACCCTCGGTGTTGCTCCCGCGCCTCGTTCAGCCAGTGAGCGGGAACCGGTCTGTATGTGGGATCCGAACCCTCGGGTGGGAGCGCCGCCGCGCTTCCCAAGCGGCGCACTATCCAGCGCACCACCGGGCCGGCCCTATAAATATATTTCTATTAAAATTGAAATGTAGAAATGTTAACCTAAAAATAATCATTAATAGCATCAGATTTATATGAACAATTAAAATTCAGTATGTTGAAGGATCTGATTCCTAAAATATTTTTAGTCCTTTTTTGCTAGTGTTTATATGTACTGTTGTTAGAATATGGTTATATAAACATTCATATTTTAAATTTAGGAATATGTTAAATTACTTGTTTTTGAGCAAAAAAAGTAATTATTCCTAACCTGACACCAGATTCTACTGGCATGCTTCATAATCTTACAAAATTTATAAAAGTTGTTTTATTAAGTAAGATATACTTTTATTAGAATCTAGATAACTAGATTAGAAAAGGCACACATTTGTGAAATTTTTTTATAAAGCTAGATTTTTATTTTGGCTTGTATAATAAGATATAGGGATATATTACTAGGGCTTTTAAATATTAGAGCATCACTCACTGAGAGCTGGATATTGTGACTTTTTTTTGGATAGTTCTGTTTTCTGAGGTTATAATGGCTACTTGGCTGTTGGGGAGGGAATGGGTAGGGTATTTCAAGCAATAGCAAAATCCCTAATTACCTCTAGTGCTTCAGAGAAGCTTTGATTGTCCTTTTCTGCTACCTATTACTTTTCCTTAGGCAGGGCTGAATACTAGGACTTTAAAAAAAAGATGTGATTCCAAGGAGAGCTGTGATTGTTTTAATATATAATTATAGACATTATGGGACACGTGGACCTGAAAAGTTTGTAATTCAGGACTTGGGAATGTAATTTAATAATTGTTTAAAAGACTTTGCAATTACGAATTTTTGTTTACTTATGAGAAATAACTTGTGCTGTTAATCACTTGCTGGCATTTATCCCTTAAATTCACTCAACCTATTTGTTTTTAGAAATTTAATCTGGCAGAATTGAAAGTTATAGCATATCATATCATTACATCTGTTAAAAGAACACATGTTCAATGCAGCAGTGTCCTAACTCTTGTAATATGTAAGAGCACACATAGAAGTGGTTCCCAAGCTTATCTGCATGTTGACGTCACCAGGGAGCTTCAAAAAATATCGATGCCTAAGCTGGCCAGTTAGTCCAGTTGGCTAGATCAAGATGGTGCTGATAACACCAAGGAGATTTAGGGTTAGATCCCTGTACTGGCTAGGGGGAAAATATATATATATATATATATATATATATATATATATATATATATATATATATAATCTCGCTACCTGTGTCACCCCACAGAGTATCTGGTTTAATTAGACTGGAATGTGGCTTGGGCTTTAGAATGTTTCAACGTACCCCCCTTCCCCCCACCTGCCCTGTCATTCTAGTGTATTGACATACACAGTATGGTAGAAATAGTCAAACCTGGGTTTGCCCCTTGTTAGCTGTAACTTTAATCCAGATACTTTACTTCTTTAGAGATTAATATCTATTCCGAGGTTACTGTGAGGATAAAACGAATCATGGAAAGCAGCTGGTCGTAGTAGGTGTTTCATAAATATTAGCTGTTAATACTGTTGACAGCATATTATTCCACAGGAGCACCAGTAGCATGTAGTCCCTGAAGATACTTCAGAAAGTTGGTGGAAAAATAGAATTGAAAGATAATACAAATTTTTTCATGAACTTCTTGAAGTACCCTTGTATCTTTAAAATTATATGTTAAGCAGGCAGATACTATTCTAAATGATTGTAAATGGTGTGAAATAGCAGTTTGAGTTCTTATAGTGAGTTAAGACAGCTCTTTTATCTCTGTTTCACTTATTTGGCATTATGCTCAGTTACGAACTAAGCTTGATAGTCTGATTTTATTCGGCCTTTAAAATGAGATTTACTAGTTTTCTCAGGTGTAATCATTGAACTTTAATGGTAAATCATATTCTTGCGAACTAATTACAAGGATGGGCTACTGTGCTTTCAAATCTTTAAAAATAAGTTGTCCTTGTTAGTCTTACTACTTTTATGCTTTTTGTGGAAATAAGGTAAGCACCACAGTTACAAGCTGAGGTTTGACTTGCTAGCTCCACTGTCAAGGTTTTGCCTCATTTTCTTTTTTTCTTTCTTTCTTTTTTTTTTTTTTAAAAGATGACCGGTAAGGAGATCTTAACCCTTGACTTGGTGTTGTCAGCACCATGCTCTCCCAGGTGAGCCATAGGCCGGCCCTTTGCCTCATTTTCTGGCATGCTTAGAGAAAAGCAAAGAAAATGGGCTGGTGAATTGTTTTGAGACAGACACAACTCTTTTTGCCTTACTTTAGCTACTTACCCTTTTTTGATTGGCACCTGATATCCTAAAGCAAACTCAGTAGATATTGATGTCTTGAGGAAACTAGATTGTAGGTCAGTTTTTGTTCAAGAAGCTTTTTTTTTTTTTTCCTTTTTGTCTTTTTTCTTGTCCGGCAACGGATCGCAACCCTCAGTGTCGCGCCTGTACCGGGCCGGGACCGGCAACGGGATTGCAACCCTTGGTGTTGGGTCCGCACCTCACTCAGCCAGTGAGCGGGAAACTGGTCTGTATGTGGGATCCGAACCCTCAGCGGGAGCGCTGCCGTGCTCCCAAGCGGCGCACTGTAGCAGTGAGCCACCGGGCCGACCCTCAAGAAGCTTATGATGCTGTAATGCCATTTTTACTTAAATGTCAGAGTGTGCCTTTTCTCAATAGGAAATATGCTTTTGTTGTCAGTTTTAATGACATTTTAATGTGGTTTTCTTTAATGGTTGGAGAGAAGGGAAAACTAGCAATTGATTAAGCCAGTGAAAGTTCCCTTCAATTAGTCTGAATACTGTAATAAAAGTAGGTGCAGTTGCTTTATAAGAAGTTGATAGGTGAGGTGAAAAAATACTAATTTTATTTGGAGTTGGTATTTTCTTCCTCAATTTAGGACTATAATGTGACAATGTTAAGCTTTTTAAAAATTATTTTGGCAAATTGGTTAGTAGAGTGAGCCATTTGGCAGAAAAGATAAAACCTTGGTACCAAGAAGTGAGTCTAGGGAACTTCTATATTCCCAATTAGAAGCATAAAGGCCTCATGCCATTTTTAAGATTTCTGCAATTTCATTTTTGGAGATTTTTTTTCTAAATTGGGTGTTAGCAAACCTTTTCTGTGAAGAGCCAGATAGTAAATGTATTAGACCATGTGATCTTAATTATGCCATGTGGCACCAAAGCAGTCACAAACAGATGTCTGTGTTCCAATAAAATTGGCTGGCAAGGGGCAGTAGTTTGCTGGTTTCGATTCTAAATCTTAAAAACCAGGCCTTCAGAAACATGAAAATTGGGTTATGATATTTAATTTTTATGTCATTACCTGTATTATTTTTCAGTCTTGCAAGACAACTTTTTTTTTTTTTTTTTTTTTTTTTTTTTTTTTTTTTTTTTCCT